ACGATGCTCAGTTTAAATTAAAAATATCAACCTAGGCCTACACGATGCTCAGTTTAAAAATTGTTAATTAATTTTTTGTGACCGAACGAAAGGATATTTTTGAAAACTTTCTTCGGCAATATTGTTCTAAATTATGGCAGGAATCGATTGGTAAATGTTTCAAGTCGCTAAGTGGTCTGGTTGCCGAGATATGGGCCAAAAACTGCATTTTTGCGAGGTTTTTTGGCTTTTCCGGGAAATCCAGGAAGGAATTCCGGGAATTTTTTGGCCCACAATCCTCCTCGGAACTTGCTTAACATATTTGCTTTTGGAACTAGTCCTCGATATTGCTTCGTTGAGTAGGAGATACGACTTAAAGCTGCGGACATCCATCCATCCATTCCCAGAAATGACGAGTTAATAATCGCAATTCTCCAGAATGGAAATTGCGCTAAAAAGGTTTCATTTCTATGTAAAGAATCAGCTATGTACTGAAATAGCTTTTGAACAAATGTTCTCAAGGTTTTTTTTTTGAGGTTTCATCTGTACCTTCACCTAACTAACCCTTCATAATAGTTCTATCTTCCGTACTGGCAAAATCCGACCGTGAATCATAAGAGTCGGATGTGTGTCTTGACCTTCGTCGAACCCCTGAGACTGACTCACCGAACCCCTGGGTTCCATCGAACCCAGTCTAGAATGTTATGACGTAAAATTTGAACAAAATGGATTAGGTAGCACCCTGGATTAGTTACTAGCAAAGTGGATTAGTTAATAGCATCACGGATTAGATCGAAGCACCACGGATTAGAAACACACACATTGGTGCGGGATATCACCTCGCATAATTTAGCAGCTTGGAATTATGTTCATAGTATATGGGATAAGTTCCTCTGTAACCTTTTCGATAATAAAAAAAATCTTGTTGACATACCAATATGTTGACACGCTCTCCACAGTACTGCCCCCCCCCCCCCCGGTGTTGCCCCCCCCCAGTGTTGCCCCCCCCCCCCCCACACACACACACACAATCTATGCATATGTGGATATCAATGAAGAGGATGGACTCTACTTTTCTGCCCAAAATTGTTGTCTTAACTTTGATGAAAGAGGGACTGCGAGGTTAATTATGAGGCAAAGAAAATTATTCCATCCTCGCTAATATATTCATGAGGTCGATGATATCTCATGACCTTTGAACCCGGGTGTCTACTGGCATGAAACCAGTGGGGATAATCATGTCCTGTCCCCATGGCGGTTCTCGCATACGTTTAGCTTGATGTTGATGCAAATATCTGAACGTTAGGGAATACGTACACATGTGTTTGTGTTGGTGAATATTTGAATGTTAGGGAACACATCCACATATGTTTGTGTTAATGAATATCTGAATGTAAGGGACACATACATAGGCATGTAGAAGATACCTTCAGACTACAGATCTACTTTTTCCTCTTATATATATATATATATATATATATATATATATATATATATATATATATATATATATATATATATATATATATATATATATATATATATATATATATATATATTTAATCAGCATTGTCAATTATGATGCTCACTGCACAACTGACGATAAAATACGCTTAGCTAAAGCCAAGCGAGATTTTTTTGAAAAAAAAAACCCCGAAAAAAAAATGGCTATCGAAGAAAGAGACTGAATGCAGATTTTTCCCCATATATGTCCTAACCGTTCTTTTGTATATCAGTGAATGCTGGAAAGCAACCATCTCTTCCATCTACATATTGGATGCTTTGTGTAGTTAGTAGGCCCACCCGGCCGTCTACCATTGAACGATAAATAGCTTCAACTGGCCCTAGACTATCTTTAAATATAGGTTTCTAGGAGACTTAGAAAGTGAAACTGTTTCTGAATGAACTGAAGAAAGATGGCGCTGGATGTGCCATGTATTTAGGATGATACCAGACGATGTTACATCAATGGCGCTCGATTGTTCACCTGAATGGGGACTGTGAAGGCTGAGGGAGGCTTAGATACACACAGTAGAAAACGACCGACAGGAGCAGAGAAAGTTGCAAAAGACTGGCTTTCTCTGGCGGCCTCGTTTACCCTGGGCGTCGACGGTAAAAGATGATGAATTTAGACAAGTTACTATACTATTAACATTCTGCTAATATCATGCAAAAATACATTTAAAAACAATTGTTTCTGTACGCCAAAAAAAAAAAACCAAGGTGACCGTCTTTGAATCGCTCGTTTCCTCATGTGTTGCATTTCGATGCTTTAATTGCAAAAAAAAAAAAAAATTCTAACTTTAAAAATTTTGAATACATTTGGAAACTGCAGGAATTCACCTCCTAATTTTTGTTTCTATCCCAGTTTAACACAAAGTACGAACAATTATTTTGTTTTTTGTTTTAATATTTGTGTATTTTTACAAGCTTTTATTTAACTTGCTTACTCTGTATGTATGGGTAAAAACGGGCTAGCACCTGGGGACGGTTATTCGCTTAGCCACCCATTTACTTATCATTATGATCCGCCTATGTGTGTCAAGCTTACATTAAAAAATATATCAACAGTAGTACGACGCGTATCGTTTATCGACCGGCTAGACCTTTGTAATACTTGCTCATTTTGAAATTTTCACGCTGTGTAATTTTAATTAATTACTCAGTAGTTTAATTAAATGTGTGGATTAATTGTAAAATGTTCTAATCAATGTTATATCCTACATAGCTTGTTACACAGAAGATTTATTACCTGTAATTTGCAAATAACCTAGTGGACGGCTATTTTAGGTAAGTTATAATGTGACGTAGTGGACGGCCATTATAGCCATGTTCACTGGTGACGCAGTTGCTAGTTTTAACAGTGACGTAGTAGACAGCCGATATTTCTAGTTTAAAAAGTTCCGTAATGGACGGTCTTTACAACTATATGATTACTGGACGGCTGTTATAGCTATTCTATCAAGTGACCAAGTAGACGGCCGTTGTAGGTATTCTAACAAGTGTCGTAGTAAATGACTGCTATGTGCTATACCTATTGGTTATCAAGTAAATAAAGACCAAACCATCTAAGAATTCAGATACATATTAAACAAGTGATTTATGAGTTTTGTAGTAATTAGTGTTGCTTGTAACTTGTAAATATTTGAAAATAACATTTGTTTTGTTAGATTCGCAACAACAGTAAAACGTCCATTTGTTGTAATTCTGTAGTCTGTTAATAATACAGTCTATATAGTTTTCGTCATAGTGTCACCTCCCCCCCCCCTCTTGTAATAATTGTCGATCTGCACTTAAAAGACTAAGACTAATTAAGTTTAATCACTAGGGATCTGGCAAAATCTGTACATTTTGCAATTTTTTTGGCTTGGTGTCACCCCCCTAAATGGTGTCACCCGGTACGGTCCGCACCCCCCCCGCCCCGCCCCGCCCTCGTAACGCCTCAGCCTCAGATATAAACCACTTTATTGTTAGAAAGAACGATGTGTTCAGGTGTTCCCTTTGAATCAAGTGTGTGATATGAATGAAAAAACTGACAGCCATGTGTAATTGTAGAGACTGAGCTTTACTTACAACAAAATGTGTTTCCTGTCTAATCCCTGTTTGATTAAATCCAGACGCAAATATTTTTATGGCGAATAAAATATTCACACCTGCTTCAGCTGATTCACGAGCAAATACAAACACACACACACATACATACCGCAATCTTGCACCTACGCACTCAGACACACTTGCAATCAAACACAAATACAAACAAACACACATCCTCAGCCAGTGATTTAAAATATAAAATTTAATTTTATATAAATTTGTATACTGTATTCTATTGATACTAGTTAAATGTAAGTTCGACCCTGTAGCCGGGAGGGGTCGCTACGCCTCTGAGCACACCAACACAATCACAAGCTTAGGGTACCAACCCTCTCTCCCCTTTTGGTTACTAAGATTAAAATTATATGGACCCCACCCCGCATATAATTAAACAATGGTAGGGACCTATAGTGTCTTGAACGGCGCCTTCAATGAGGAAATGAAGCACATATCAAATCCATCAATGACACGACAAATTCAGCTCTGCTCTGTCTTGAATTAACTCTTACCACGAAGTTTTCTGAATTTTACTAACAAAGAAATTATTCATAAAATAAATAAAAAAAAGATATATTTAAAACCAATACACCAATAGCTTAAAATCACACTGATAATACGTTATCTACTCTCAATTGATTGAAACGTCCAATTTAAGACAACCACTAAATAAAGGGCCTATCTCCACAGCTGGGTTAAGATAGCTGAAGGCTGTGGCGTAGGCAGGGGGGGGAGGTTAGGGGGGGGGGTCATAACCCCCCATAGACCCCTCGGTATATATATATAAAGTATGAGAGGGGGTGTGCAAATCGAAAGTTTGAGGGGGGGGGGTGCAAATCGAAAGTTTGAGCGGGGGGGGGGGTGCAAATCGAAAGTTTGAGCGGGGGGGGGGGGGGGTGCAAATCGAAAATTTGTCCCCGGGTAAAAATTGGAACCCCCCCCCCCACCTTGAGACGATCCTGGCTACGCCACTGGCTGAAGGAGACGCATAGAAGGTCTGGGTAAAATCTTTGCGGGTCTGAAGGAAAAAAAAAGTACAATACGATAATTAATGTTATCTGCAAGGCTTTGTATCAGTTGTATTGAAGCTCTGTCAGATTATGTTTTAGAGATAGTGTGAGATGTGTGTAGAGTGTGGGATGTTTTTGATGTGCGGGTTGTGTGTGTATGTGTGTGGTCTATGTGTGTAGGACATTTGTAATTTGTATTTTTAGGACATTTCTGGTCGTGGGGTTTAGGACATTTGTGTTTATTTTTCAAGCCCTGTTTCCATTTGGACAACTTATGAAGTTTGTGCTTTTAGAAGGTTAAATTTCAAAGTGCTTCGTTTTAGGATACTGTATTACGAGTAACACATTACAGAATAGCACCTTACGAAGTAGCACATTGACGAAGTAGCACTTTACGAAGTAGCACTTAGACAAAGTAGCACATTGCTAAATAGCACCTTACGAAGTAGCACATTACGAAGTACAACGTTACACATTGCGACAGTGAAGGAGATAATGGAGTTTGTCTAACACTCCAACCTTTGCAGGTTTGTGGTGAAACATTTTGATAGTACTGAGCATAGGGTGTAGTTTTCATACAGTCTAGTGTCAGTCGAGGTTAAGGCTAGGGTCAGACTAGGTTAAGGCTAGGGTCAGACTAGGGTCAGTCTAGTCAGACTAGGCTAAGGCTAGGGTCAGACTAGGGTCAGTCTAGTCAGACTAGGTTAAGGCTAGGGTCAGACTAGGTTAAGGCTAGGGTCAGTCTTGAGTCAGACTAGGTTAAGTCTAGCATCAGTCAACGTGTTAAGGCTAGGGTAGGGCTGATATGGCGGTTAAGAAAAGGCCAAATATGTGCACATTGTGATAACTCATTAGCTACACCTATGGCTAACAGGGACCGCTACTGTTATATATATATATATATATATATATATATATATATATATATATATATATATATATATATATATATATATATATATATATATATATATATATGTATGTATGTACACACACATGCCTAAGCTTCCAACAACAGATGCTAGCAGCTGTGAAGTAGTCGAATAAAGCAATATTTTGTTGCCACTAAGAGATCCGCTAACGGTAAAACTAAAATAATCGATAAAATGTTCAATCCAATCAAACATGAGTGATATTAAATCACAGAAATAATATAGGGCTTTAAAAAAACCTCAAACGATTCGCGGAGCTTAAAACACAGCGGGTGTTGGTTTAGTGGTAAACGTAAAACACAGCCCCCACTGGAAGCCCACTCACAGTGTATTACATTGGCATGGTGAGAGGCTTAGTTTACAAAATGTTTTTATAAACCCCAATCTTTCTTGTATGTTCTTATGTAAGAGAAACGGTTTGTATGCTGCTTTTTGAGAATATCATAGAAAATTAACAAATTCTAAAGATTTGTGTAGAATTACTCAAAACTTGATTGAAATCTACGAATAGGATCTAGTATTCATAAATTAAATTTCGTCTAACACAGACCTTACTCTTCTTCTTCTTCTTCTTCGTTCTTAATTTTAGTGTTGGAAGGGATCCCCCTCAAACACGATTAAGTCTGCTTTTCTTCTTGGATTTGCTTCCATAGCCTTTGTCCAACCAAGATCAAACTACAAGGCGTCAGTTGTTTGATTTTGGAGTTGTCTCTCCTAGAAGAGTGGCTGTTCCCATCTAACGAGCCTCATCTGCCCGAGGGTTCGAACTCGAGACTTTCGTTGTAGCAGCCATGAGCCCACGCCGACCCCTTGCTCAAATTATCGGTATTTTACTAACGAAAATACAGCAAAACCAGTTCCCTATATTCGAAATCGTTAAAAAAAACCTAAAGATACAAGTACAAGATCTTATATTTATATAACGAATTTCGTCTACCTAACTGAAACGGTACTAAAGTAACACTTTAGGAGTAAAGTACCACATCCGGTAAACAAAAATCGCCAAAATTTCCTTAATTCCTACAAATAGGATATAATACGTCCTCTGTACTAGGTATACAAGAAAGTAATAAAAACAAATACAAAAAATAAAATACACATTTAAATGCCCCCCCCCCCCCCCCCCCCGGAGAAAATTGTCTGGACGAAAAACTGTATATGACAAAAATAATACTGGTCTTGATTAAATAACATATTGAAATATGTGTTTCAAAGGGCTATGTCAACGATACATTCGATGATAGATGTAAACAGAACTTTAACCTTAACGTATACGTATTTTTTTTTAAGTTCTCCTCGTTTTGAATTTTTGTAACTCTTAAAATATTAAATTTATATTTATATTTGAAAACTGTTTTACATGTTCATAGGACAAAATAGGCACACAAAATAGTTTTTCGCCCATGCTATTTTGATCCTTGTTAGAAGCCTTGCACATGCCATCAGCCAAATATAAAATATCATTTTTACAATTTCTGATTAGATCATTTAAAACAAACACTAGACTGAGTCGTGCTGTTTAAAAAACAACAACATTATAATAGGCTGTTGCACGTAAATTTGAAACCTTACTCATTTTAAAATAATTGTACCAGAATTTTAAATATATTTCTCCCATTACATCGATACTAGTTATGTGTTTCTAGCTTCAGTAGGAGCTAAAATAATTTTATATAAAAAAAAAGAGCCAAAAACGTTAAGTTGATACATGCAAAGGCTCACGCCGTGAATTTCATCCAAAGATTACAAATATTTTTTTTCCGCCATTTTGAACAACATCCGGTGTGACGCGCGACACTGCAGGCAGTGATTGAGTGTCTGGCAGGGATTTGTTTACTATGGCTGGAGTAGCTATTGTAAGTCCTGATAACGCCAATCGATTTTTTGTGAATTACGTAACTATTGCGTCCCGGTGTTTTGATCACGTGTCTGTGTGCTCACATAGAGGCTACGAGGGACGATAACTGCTGTTGATTTTTATAATTCATGATGCTCTACCATTGGATAGAATTTGAAACAAGAATGTTATCGGCTCAAAAAACGGATATAAGGTAGATTTATTATTTATAAAATCGTTATGCAATGTAATTTAAAAAAATATACACATGACAATAAAAACTTGATTGTATTGTTTTTGTGTGACTTTTCTATTTAAAAAAAAACAACATATTTCCGGTAATTAGATTCTAAACGTTGTTTTTTTAAAAAAGTAAATACAAATGTAATTATTTTCCTGGCTACATGGTGAAAGGAAACTAATAAACAAACAAGGCGATTGTGCTAATGTCCAGTAGCTGACTTGTTAGGGAATTCCCGAAAACGCGTGCAAAGGGTTGGTTTCACATTTGGAAAGTTGTATTACAACTTCGAAAACCGTGACACTTACAAGATATAACCAGTTCTTTGATATACAACGGAACCAAACAATTGCACGCAGAGAAGTGTTGAGACTGAAACAGAACAAAAACAAGACCTGTCGGCCTTAGAGTCCAACATACAACACGATGACTGGTATATCATACAAGTAACGCAAGAATTGATAGTTACTATCTTAAGTTTTGATACAATGTCAACTTGGAAAGTTGTATATTTCGAGATAACTTCGTTATTTAAGGTCAAATGATAAAAACGTTTAGTTTACACGGCAGCAGTACAAGTTACTTCCCCTGATGGGAGAATTCCCCCCCCCCCCCCCCCTCCTCTCCCCAGCCTCAGTAAGCCGGGATTTAGATAAAACGACTTAGTCTGTGCGTGAGTGTTAATCTGCTGACACGCGTCCATGTGGTCGTAACATTAAACGCCACGACAATCTGAACCGGAGATTGTATCTCTTAACACATTAAACACTTTCAACACATGAACACATTCATAAATCATTCAACGCATTCATTAAACGCATTCAATATCGACAACAGATGAATATATTAATTAAACACACGAACACATGAAAAAAATGTTTAACAAGCAAACAAGACAAGCTAACCAGATCACAGTCCGTCTATTCGGGTCTTGAACTTTATAGCCTTGTAGAATTAACCTTGAACTTTATAGCCTTGTAGACTTAACCTTGAACTTTATAGCCTTGTAGATTTAACTTGAACTTTATAGCCTTGTAGACTTAACCTTGAACTTTATAGCCTTGTAGACTTAACCTTGAACTTTATAGCCTTGTAGACTTAACCTTGAACTTCATAGCCTTGCAGACTAAACCTTGAACTTTATAGCCTTGCAGGCTTAACCTTGAACTTTGAAACCTAATAGAATTAACCTTGAATTTTGTAAACTTAACCTGTGTAGCCTTGTAAACTTAACCTCGAACTTTGTAAACTTAACCTTGATCTTTGACCTTTTAATATCACATCACGTTCTTATCATTCATCACCAAAGGACGTTGTTGTGTAGAACCATGGCGGCCATACAGTGGGCGGATGGTGGCAAGCCAAAGGTGAGTACTCACTGAACGTCTGGGGGGGGGGGTGTATGTGGGGGGGGGGGAGGGGAGTGACGGTACTCGGGCATCAGCCTAGACTTTTGATGGTCCACGTTTCTTTCTAACTAGTGTAAATTTTGTTTCACTGCCAACTCGATTGAACTAATTCAATGATCAATGAATGTTCAAATCACAAGTTCGCCTCCCCCTGAACTTTGCAACCTTGTAGATGTAACCTTGAACTTTGTAGCCTTCTAGACGAAACCTTGAACTTTGTACCGTTGCTGTTTAGGGGCTGTGTGTAGGCTGTGTGTGAGCTGTTTGTGGGCTGTGTGTAGGCTGTGTGTAGGCTTTAGGGGCTGATGTGTAGGCTTTAGGGGCTGTGTGTAGGCTTTAGGGGCTGTGTGTAGGCTTTAGGGGCTGTGTGTAGGCTTTAGGGGCTGTGTGTATGCTTTTGGGGCTGTGTGTAGGCTATAGGGGCTGTGTGTAGGCTTTAGGGGCTGTGTGTAGGCTGTGTGTGGGCTGTGTGTAGGCTTTAGGGGCTGTGTGTAGGGTTCTAACGTTGTATTGTTTTCAGTTTGTCGATTTGTTTTTCTACAGAAATGGCTGATCGCTGCTCTCTTCGTTTTCCTCGCTGTCCTGTTCGTGACGATTCTTTACAGCAGGAGGGACGTGTGAGTTATATGTGTAGTTACCTGTGTGGTTACCTGTGTGATTAAGAGTGCCATTACGTGATTAGGTATCGATTAGGCGTAAGAGTCGGGTGTGATATGGGATGAGATTTGTATGTGAATATTTATGTGAATTGTATAGAGTATTGTATGCGATTTGGTTTGCTTTTTTTTGGTGCGTGATTCTGTGTGTAATTGTGTATGTAATTTAGTAGTAATTAGATTGTTAGTTGCTGTTGTGATTTTTAATATAATTAATATAATTAAAATAATTTTAATGTAATTAATGTGGTATTTAAATTTTATTTTTGATATATAAGATTACGAAATTTTAAATTTTTTACAAAAATTATTTTACTAACCACGTGATCGTTTTTGTCCAATCACATCAGATCCATTGTTGAAAAGCACCAACCAGAGAACTCCTTCAAGAAACAACGGGACACCCTGTCGCGGGAACTGAACAAGTTGAAGATGTTGTTTGGTCAGCAAAATTGTGAACTGATGAAACGTGATCAGGTCAGTTAATGATGATTAAGTCAGTTAATGATGATTACGTCAGTTAATGATGATTACGTCAGTTAATGATGATCAGGTCAGTTAATGATGATTAGGTCAGTTAATGATGATTAGGTCAGTTAATGATGATTAGGTCAGTTAATGATGATTAATTCAGTTAATGATGATTAGGTCAGTTAATGATAATTACGTCAGTTAATGATGATTAGGTCAGTTAATGATGATTAGGTCAGTTAATGATGATTAGGTCAGTTAACTGATTACTGATTAGCTTATTGAGCAGCTGTTGTTTGCTGTGGCATGTAATTTGGCGTGTAGGGGTTTGAGAGAAGTCAGACTTCGCGTGTGAGAGATCCGAGAAACGAAAACAGCAAACCATTTTTATGCTTGAATAAAACGGCCTAGCTATTACATTTACTCAAAGAAAATCCTATTGGCTGGTTTTGCTAAAGCTCATGTAAAATTTTCCAGCTACATTATGAAATACATCCATTCACTTTTCTGATACACCAAATGTAATCCCTTATTATCTTTCAAATTTGGACGCTTTAATTATTAAAATGCCGTACTGAATTTATTATTTGATAACATGAACCACTTCATATTGTTCTTATGTATTGGTGACATTTCATATCTTTTCAGAGAAGTGATGGGGTGTCGGAGTTCGGGGGGTGGTGTGCTGAAATTAGCGCCCCAGGGAGTTCGAAACACCACTGGGATAAGGTAGGTCATTTAAACATCTGGGATAAGGTAGGTCATTTAAATTTAAACTCCTGGGATAAGGTAGGTCATTTAAAGTTAATAAAGTCCTAGGATAAGGTCGGTGATTTAAAGTTAAACACTTGGGATAATGTATGTAATGTAAAAACTACAGCCCTAATTGTTTGTTGGTCGAGTGTGCGACAAGTGTCGACACATTTTCTTATGTTCCCCACCAGTTGCGTCGCTAGGTCGGGTATAACCAGGAACGGCACCTAATGGTGTCACTCCCCCCCCCCCCCACACACACCAAATTAAAAAAGCTATATAATAATAGGCTATATATATATATATATATATATATATATATATATATATATATATATATATATATATATATATATGTATATATATATATATATATGTATATATATATATATATATATATATATATATATATATATATATATATATATATATATATATATATATATATATATATATATATATATATATATATATATATATATATATATATATATATATATTAAAAAATCGGTGTCACCCCCCTCCCATTTCCAAGATCGCGTGAATTTGTCAACACATTATTTTTATTCAACTGGAACAACGGTTTTCTCTATTGTTAGCAGTTTTACGTCATTGTGTCGCACCCCAACACCCCACCCCTTTGTCGGGATGTTCAATTTAAAAATTAAAAGACTGTTTAAGTAATTAATCAGTCATTTAATTGAAAAAAAACAACATTTTTCTTTTATTTATTTTGCTATTTTTTGTCTTGGTGTCAACCCCCCCCCACTCCCCCAATTGGTGTCACCCGGTGTAGTCCGCACCCTCTGACCCCGCCTTGCGACGCCTCTGTTCCTCGCATATTCTGACGTTACAATAATGAACTCTGTACTCACAGACCTTCTCCACGGCACTGAGCGCCTACCTGGCAGGTAAAACCGTCGGCAGCTTTGGGGAGGGTCCTGGTGCCTACAAGACCCACATGGACACCCTGGGCCAGGTGACCAGCTACACGGCGTACGACGGCGCGCCTTTTGTCGAGAGCGTGACGGACGGCAAGGTCAGTACTCACTCTAGGACTTTAGGATACAATAGGTCAAGGTCATTACTAGCTCTAGGACTTTAGGAGAGCACTCAAGCTAAAATACAATAGGTCAAGGTCATTACTCACTTACAACTTGAGGGGGTCAAGGTGAGTGCTCACTATAGAGCACAAGAGGCCATGGTCCATACTCACCCTACAACTTGGGAGGGGGGGGGGGGGCTGAGTGAGTGCTCACTACAGAGGCGTAGCGAGGGGGGGGGGGGCGAGGGGGTACATATGTCCCCGGGCGCCGACCTTAGGGGGCGCCAAAATGGGTGCACATTTAAAGTTTGAGAGGGGGTGGAAATCGAAAGTCTGAGGGGAGTGCGAATCGAAAATTTGAGGGGGGGGGGGGGTGCAAATCGAAAATTGGCTCACTATACAGCACAAAGGGCCAAAGTCAGTATTCAATATATAATACAAGGTCAGTACCCATTTTACAACATGACGGGTGAAGGTCAATGCTCTCTCTATAACACAGATGGTTCAAAGTCGTTACGGACTATAAAAAACGCAGAGATCTTTTCAAATCAAAAAACCTCTTTGTCCATTACGAAAACTGAAAAAAATTCTGTTATATTATTACATGTGATTACTGTATGTTCCAATTTCATTTTCATACCTTTTAATACAAGCTTTTATTATACTTTATTCAAGTATAAAATTATTATTGTACTACGCGTATGTAACATCGTAAAACTAATATTTTACTTTGCACGTAAATTGATGTCATTAACATATTGTTTAGTTGAAACATTGAAATAACCTGAACTGTTGTCTAACGTCAGGTGAAGTTTCTGGATCTGACGTCACCACAATACGGGCTGCCCATCTTTGACTGGGTCATCAGTGTGGAGGTGGGTGAACACATCCCACCGCAGTTTGAAGATATTTATCTGGACAACTTGGTCAGACATGCCAGGGAGGGCCTCATTCTGAGCTGGGGCAAGCCAGGTACACGTCAACATGTCCGTTTTCGTTTAACCAAAGTTGGCATACACAATATTCCTGTTTGGTGGTCCTTAGGGTAGATACGGGAGGGATCAGAATTTAGCTGGTAAAATTCATCATGATTTTTTAAAACAATAGTTACATACAGTGTTACTTTCAGACATTTTTCTCTGAACTACCGGGGGGGGGGGGGGGGGTGAAGCGCAATTAAACGCACTTCAATTTCCACTTTTTCCCGAGACCCTGGTTAAAGTATCATATTTCACGTCTTGAAGTAGTTTAATAAACAAGTAAAATAAAACAAGATTGCGTGGTCAACTTGATGTAATATCTCACTATTTAGTTTGTATTAGCTGATAGCGTTGGGCACGTCTTCTGTCTTACCGCCTGCAGTGGAGTGGGGTAGGTAATGATAATGTTGATGATACAAGTCCCCGTGGGGTGGGGAGAAAGCGACAAGGCTTTAGAAAAAATCCCCGTGGGGTGGGGAGGTAATGACAATGCTGATGATACAAGTCCCCGTGGGGTGGGGAGAAAGCGACAAGGCTTTAGAAAAAATCCCCGTGGGGTGGGGCGGTAATGACAAGGTTTGCTGACAAAAGTCACCGCGGGTGGGGAAGTAATGAAAAAGCAGCTGACAAAAAACGCCGTGGGGTGGGAAGGTAATGAGAGGGATGATGACAAAAGCCCCCCAAAGCTTTATTATCCCTGTTTCGTCTTAGCTATCTGTGTTGACACACGTAGTCGACACGGGTGACTGAAGTTTAGATAGATTAGGACAAAGTATGTTTATCTTAAGACGGCGTAGGACAGGTGCTGTGCAGTATCTGAGATTGTAGGTGTGGCAGATAACGTCTAGTGCGAGTGAGATGGTGGTGTGGCAGATAACGTTTAGTGCGAGTGAGATGGTGGTGTAGGAGATAACGTTTAGTACGAGTGAGAGGGTGGTGTGGCAGATAACGTCTAGTACGAGAATGACGCTGTAGATAGCAAGAAGTGGTGCGAAGCTAGACTGAACTAGAACACAACATCACAGGAGACTTAACGTCAGGGACCACGGGGATAACGTTAGCCAGGAGACGCTAGTATGACATGACATTTAACGACTTTCCTCCCCTTCCTCCCCCCCCCCCCCACATCCCCTAACTTAAACTAGGAGCCTTACTTAAACAAAATCCTGAGAACTAGTGACATGTTATTACGACATAACATTTAAAAACGCTCACACCTTTAACCAGGGGCCCACTAAACATTAATCTGACCCAGTTCCCGGACACCCCATAACACCCCACACGCCACTGATTCTGGAATCTTCCACCCCCAGGTCAGATGGGCCTGTCCCACACCCCACACGCCACTGATTCTGGAACCTTCCACCCCCAGGTCAGATGGGCCTGTCCCACACCCCACTGATTCTGGAACCTTCCACCCCCAGGTCAGATGGGCCTGTCCCACACCCCACACGCCACTGATTCTGGAACCTTCCACCCCCAGGTCAGATGGGCCTGTCCCACACCCCACACGCCACTGATTCTGGAACCTTCCGCCCCCAGGTCAGATGGGCCTGTCCCACACCCCACACGCCACTGATTCTGGAACCTTCCACCCCCAGGTCAGATGGGCCTGTCCCACGTCAACAACAAGCCCCTGACCGAGGTCATCGCCCAGCTCAACAAGCGCGGGTTCCACATCGTGCCCGAGGACGGGCAACACCTGAGGGAGGCCGCCTCGGTCTTCTGGCTCAAGGACAACATCCAGGTGTACAAGAGGACCTCACCCTCCAGCTTGGTGCCAGAGGACGCTTGAGGACTGGAGGACATGAGGACATTGTGTAAAGGACGCTTAAAGCAGGACATGAGGACATTGTGTAAAGCACGCTTAAAGCAGGACATAAGGACATTGTGTAAAGCACGCTTAAAGCAGGACATAAGGACATTGTGTGAAGGATGACTAAAGCAGAATTGGAGGACATGAGGACATGGTTTACAGGATTGTAAAAACAGTGTGACATGCAAATGGAGAGAAAATGTTTAAAATGTGCCGTTTAAGTGGAGAGGAGTTTCACATTGTGCCGTAAATGTTGGGACACAATTGGTAACTAAGACAATTAATGACAATGTGCCCTTATTGTGAAACAAAACATATGCCTCTGATGTAGATCTAAAGGCTGTGAGAAACTATTTTTTTTTGGGTGAAGCTCATACAAATTCATCCAGGTAAGGAATACTTTATAAAATACGACTAATAGAGTTTACCCAAAAGAAATAGTTGATAAAAATGATAACATCTCAACGTCTTAGAAGCAATGGACAAAGCGGAATAACTCATTAATTGTTTTTTAGTTGATAAAAATGATAATATCTCATGGACAAAGGGGGAATAACTCATTAATTGTTTTTTAGGTGGAATTCTTATATTGGTAAGAGAGACAAAGCTAATATATTTATTGTATTGATTCACACACTAGTCGTTGGGTATTCGATTACATTATTTATGATTATCCACGCAATAAATTAAAAGAAAACATGGGATATATTTTTGTAACTTCAACTTTTTTTTGCATTTTAATTTTACTTTCTTTAAAAAGCTACTTTGAAAGTTGCTCTGTTTACATTTATTTGAGTCATGTGCTTTAGTAAATAAACCCCCAACAATTTTTGCAAGTTTTACAACGGCTAGTGCCGTAAAAATGATTATCTAAATTCAATTTGTCAAGTTTTTCTTTAAACAATTACGATTTAACCGTTTTCATTTGCATTTTCTTCTTACTTTGAGGTTTGGGCTAAATGCCATATTCGATTCTAATTAGATTTATGGTAAATATAATTATACCTGATCAAACCAAAATGACGGCAGAATTATATATTACAATAAATGGGCTGTCAATAATTACAGTTTTTTTTTATCAATAAAATGATTAAAGGAAACGGTTAAAAAAAACAAAAAAAACTTTTTTTTAACCAGGTGTATGTCACCACATCCTCGTTGGACTTCTGCTAAGCAGAACTTTCAAAGCTTTATTAGTCTTGGAAACATTTACTTAGTAGTTGTATTGGGGTTTAAGTTCAATATTTGATGTTTATGATGTGCTTGATTTGTGGTTTTTAAATTAAAGGCCTATTTAGGTCAACTTAGAAAAGTAAGTTTATGTAAATGTTTTCACGTTTTAAAAATGATTTGCACACGGGCATTCTATGTGTATGTTAACACTAGGTCCCTACAGGCTAAATGTTAACACAATGCCCACCCTTGTAGGCTAATTGTTAACTCCAGGCCCATACAGGCTAAATCTTAACGCAAGGCCCACACAGGCATTTTTCCTGTACATGTTAACAAACGGCTAGTTCGTGTGTACATTATTTTCGACAGCCGGAAATAATTTTCCTTGAATGTAATTTGTACCATTGTGCCTTGTGCTAAGTTTTAAATTTATTTTACAATGCATTTAAAAGCTCACAATTACTTTCATTAACATGCTGTTCATTTTAATAGAATAAAAAAAGTTTCTTCCAAACTATGTTATCTTTGCTTTTATTTAAAATGCACCCAAACGCGAAACAGAGTATGTGAAATTCCCCCCCCCCCCCCCCCGAATTGTATTTCCGCCAAGTAGGAACGTTAAACTTGTTATACTAATTATAGATAATCAGCTGGTTTAGAGAGGATTTCTCTGGTCAGGAATAATGCCGATGAAGATTAAGATTAACACTAACGTCTCTTCTCACGGCACCACTTCACACAGCGCATTATCTTCTATATCAGACGTGGGGGGGGGGGAAGAGGTAATGACGCCAAGAAGATCCTTCACATTGTCGTCAGTCCTATCACTAAAACCCTCTTCAACCAGTAAATTTGTCAGCCTCACTGTACAGAACCACTCCTATTATATTAGATATCTATTTCACAATAAATTTAAAAAATGTGAAATATCCAGCCCGCCATAAAAGAGCGACGAAGTATCGAGGTAATACTGCAGGCCCGTGGAAGTAACTATAGAAGGTAACTCTATTAAACCGGAGGGTTGTTCTACTAGAGCATACATAAATTTTTTTATGCTTGAACGGCTCCCAGTGTAACGAAATTTTCAGCTCCTTTCTCTGTTGGTTCAAGATTTCTGGTGGTAAAAGGACGAGGGTTTTATGAACACATTGTTTGCTAACCCATTGAATGTAAGTTATTTTATAGGCGGGACTATTCTATGGCGATTACTATTCAACACGCAGAAGGTGTTTAATGTTACCTATGCAGGTGGTAGGTATGTTCGAGAATCTCGGTCATTTTAGTAAATCACACGTGAAACAGGTAGTTTACAAAAAAAAAAATTATAATTTTAGTTAGAAGACAAAAGTGTTTTATTATTCAACTTAAAATTATGTGTTTTTAGTGTGTAAGGAATACACATTTCATAAATTATGTGTTATTGTTTTTTTTTTGTTTTTTTTTTTGGTGAAACAAAACACATTTCATAAATTTGTGTAGTTTTCTTTGTAAGGAATACATATTTCATGCAACGGAGAAATATTTGTAAAATTGTGCTTTTTGTGAAAACAATGTAAGGTTTCTGATTAGTGATCCAATTAATACCACGTTAAAATTAAATCAATCGACGCGAGAAATAAACAGTTCTAAGTTTCAAATATCATCTCACACAACGACAGATTATACCTTAGCCTACAACCCTCATCAAAATTTCAGTTTAAATTTTTTTCTTAAATATTATCTGAGCTCGGCTGACAAAGAGTATATTAAAAAATTTCAATTATAATTTCCATAAACAGTTTTCTAAAACGCGAAATAACACTAAAATTCAGTTTCTAGCATTAATGTTTTTTAAAAAGTGACGTTATGCTATCTGAACCCCCCCCCCCCCCAAAAAAAAATTACCCCCCCCCCCTTGAGAGTGTGACGTCGTTTACAGACGACCCTCTTTGACCGTTTTCATTATGATGAAAAATAACCTACAAAATCATAGTATGGGTTTAGCTTAAATGCCTTAAATATAACTCTGCTATCAAAACACTGTTTCGTTAAATTTACAGATTTGCATCGTGGTGTGGGGACTGGATATGGTTGATGCTGTGATGTGGGATTTATGTATGGTTGATGGTGTGGTGTGGGTCAGCGTTGTACGAGGTTTGTTTTTGTGTGTGGTACGTGTGTCATGCGGGGAAGAAATGTGTGTTTTTGGTGGATATTGACCGAGTTGATGTGGGGTTTGGTCTACTCTGTGTGTTGTGTATGCAGTGGCGTAGCCAGGATTGTCTCAAGGGGGGGGGGGGGGTTCCAATTTTTACCCGGGGACAAACTTTCGATTTGCACCCCCCTCAAACTTTCGATTTGCACCCCCCTCAAACTTTCGATTCGCACCCCCCTCAAACTTTCGATTTGCACCCCCCCCCCCTCAAACTTTCGATTTGCACCCCCCGTCAAACTTTTTCTATATACCCCCTGCCTACGCCACTGTGTGTATGTATGTGGTGTGGTGGTGTTTCAAAGAAATTGGTTAGCTTGAAGTGGTCGAAATTTTGCTCGCCCCTTTTGCCTCACGAAGCAAGTACGAAAAAGTAATGTATGAAAGAATATGTGTACTTTTAGGACTGGGAAAATTATTACTACTTGTAATGTGTACACGTGAGAAGGCTGCTAAGTTAAAGAGTTATAATCTTTAAAAAGTAGACCGGGACGTTAGTCACGAAACACGATCTTTTGGAATTTGAAACACATCGCCTAGAAGGGTAATTGCAATTTGGGGACAGACAAAGCTTAAGCACTTACTGGATATGTGCTGTGTAAGTATGCATTAAAGGTAGATGGTCATGTGAAATTACTAAAGGCTAGAAAAATTTAGACAGGGCAAACATCAGCTAAGAATAGAGGTCCAAACTAATATTGTCTGCACAAAGGTTTTCCATGTATTTTACCAGTAAATGTCCCTTTTATTTTGGTGTCAAACAGCTGATGGAAAAAACATTTTGCTAAATCATTAAACCATGAAGTATTATATTTCCTAAACCTCGACTGGGAGTAATTAAGCCCACAACTATTTTTATATATCTTTTCGCGTCCCTGTTTTTCTTCGGCGCCACCCCACCCACCCTGCCCGGCTACGCATCTATCCACCCGTCCCACTCCTAAAATTACCGAAATTGTAACACATCTTGTAACACTTCCCTTAAAAAAAATTACCCCTCATTTCCCCAACGAAGCTTATCTTCATAACAGTCGGGTGATCTAAATTAAGTACTACCCTCCTCTTCCCCTCCCTCCCTACCTCCACACACACACACACACACACTGTGTAAAAGTATACCATAGCCCAGTTGCCAGTATAATTATCTTGTTGGGAGTGAATGTAGAGGAATGTATTGTGACGCTTAAGGGTGTATACTGTAATAGTGTGATGAGAATAAATTTTTAATTATTATTATCACCATTCAGTGATTGACTTTCTACCATTCAGTGATTGACTTTCTACCATTCAGTGATTGACTTTCTACCTTTCAGTGATTGACTTTTTACCATTCAGTGATTGACTTTCTACCTTTCAGTGATTGACTTTTTACCATTCAGTGATTGACTTTCCAATATTCAGTGATTGACTTTCTACCATTCAGTGATTGACTTTCTACCATTCAGTGATTGACTTTCTACCATTCAGTTATTGACTTTCTACCATTCAGTGATTGACTTTCTACTATTCAGTTATTGACATTCCAATATTCACTGATTGACTTTCTACCATTCAGTGATTGACTTTCTACCATTCAGTGATTGACATTACAATATTCACTGATTGACTTTCTACCATTCAGTGATTGACTTTCTACCATTTAGTCATTGACTTTCTACCATTCAGTGATTGACTTTCTACCATTCAGTGATTGACTTTCCAATATTCAGTGATTGCCTTTTTAGCATTCAGTGATTGACTTTCTACCTTTCAGTGATTGACTTTCTACCATTCAGTGATTGACTTTCTACCATTCAGTGATTGACTTTCTACCATTCAGTAATCGACTTTCCAACATTCATTGATTGACTTTCTACCATTCAGTGATTGACTTTCTACCATTCAGTAATCGACTTTCCAATATTCAGTGATTGACTTTCTACCATTCAGTGATTGACTTTCCAATATTCAGTGATCGACTTTTTACCATTCAGTTATTGACTTTCTACCATTCAGTGATTGACTTTCTACCATTCAGTGATGGACTTTTTACCGTTCAGTGATTGACTTTCTACCTTTCAGTGATTGACTTTCTACCATTCAGTTATTAACTTTCTACCATTCGGTGATTGACTTTCTACCATTCAGTGATTGACTTTTTACCATTCAGTGATTGACTTTCTACCTTTCAGTGATTGACTTTTTACCATTCAGTGATTGACTTTCCAATATTCAGTGATTGACTTTCTACCATTCAGTGATTGACTTTCTACCATTCAGTAATTGACTTTCCAATATTCAGTGATTTACTTTCTACCATTCAGTTATTGACTTTCTACCATTGAGTGATTGACTTTCTACCATTCAGTGATTGACTCTCTACCATTCAGTGATTGACTTTCTACCATTCAGTGATTGACTTTTCACCATTCAGTGATTGACTTTCTACCATTCAGTGATTGACTTTCTACCATTCAGAGATTGACTCTCTACCATTCAGTGATTGACTTTCCAGTATTCATTGATCGACTACCCACCGACCATTTATTATGTGGATTACTGAGCATTTTATTGAGTGGTGTTCACTTTACGGTCGCGAGTAATGCCAGAAGACTCAGATTACCACCATTCGCAGGAAACTGATTGAGGGTTGGTTCCTTGACACTTAATGTCTATGTATAGAATCTAATGTTTACGTATGGAATTTTGTCCACATAACTAAAACGGTACTCAAACTGTCGCTGTCCACACGGAAAACGAGTATAGTGCCGCCCACTTCCGGTTAACGGAAATCACCCAAATGTTGATAAAAACCTTCTGTAGGATTAAATAAGTGTTTGTGCAGGGCCTGGCCGGGACGGCAAGTACTCTATAAAACATTTTTCCTGTTTACATTTTGCGAAGTTTTCAGATGGTGTCATCCCCTGCACTTTATAATTTTCACAGTTGACAGTAACGTTTTTCTATAGTCGGTTTTTACTAATACTGGAGCTAGCATTGTAGTTAGTGAGCTAAAACATGTTAAAAAGATGGGGATCTAACCTAAAAATTGTTGAGCTTATACGCACATCCCCCACCGGGGGTAACTGTTGAATCGAGATGTTGAATCAGCTTCTGACTGAATGAATTGGTATGCATGAGTGCTGAACTATTCTCCTTGACTATACGTCTCTTTTCATACAAGATTTCTGGTTGGTGAAAGAAAGCCGGTTTCAAAAATAAAAATTTGCTAAGCTGTGTAAGTACAGTAAATTCTATAGGCAACATTTTTTTAATGCGAGTACCATTCAACACGAAAGTGGCACTTGATATTGCTGAATCTCATGGTAGGTGTGTTC